GCTGTTTCTTTTGAAGTCTAATGAGTTTTTTCTCGGTCGAATAAATTTGCTTTCTCCTTAAAAAAATAAATATATATTTGAATTTACGTTTTCCGTTATATAGGTTGSTCGTGCATATGGATTTTCCTAAGCATTTGTGATTCTTTCTGCGCGTGTATCATATGTACCTACCTACACCGTGAATACGTCATACTGCTTCACCTGCTTGCGAATAATCCCCACCGTTAGTAAAATTAAATTTTCTCAGACTGCTGGGTGCCACTAGGGTGGTTGTATGTCTAGGAACCGTTTGTGGGCATATACTACGTGATATGTGAGAAACTCGCATATACAGGCAACTCGTTTGTAGTTGTTAGTCAAAAGGCAACTATATTGTTCCTTWGTTAAGTGCCAGTGCGGTTTCATACAGTAATTATAATTTGTGTATCAAATTATATTACTGCTACAAAATACGAAATCAAACAAAAGTTCAGCAGCTTAAACCTATACGTGTATATGCGTAYGCATATACATATTAATCTAAATTTAAATATTTGTCCTCGGTTATATAATATTATTTAATAAATCTAAGTACCTAAATTCGGTTTTGGGATATCTGTTTCAGAAGCTTTTAAATTGTTACTATTGTTTTAAATTAGATTTTTYCAAGTGTATCCAGTGAAATGCCTCGACAGCACATCGATATACGGGAGAACTCTAAATGAGTTATAATGTTGATTATAGGATATTGTTTCAATATACTACAGCTATTAGTTTCTAATAACAATTTTTATGTTAACAATAAGCAGAATAACTTGTTCATTTGAACAATGGATGAATACAAAAATGATGGTAGAATTTATTTCCGGGAAAATATTTAATATACATCTATAAGTCATGTTTCTTATTGTGACTGGGTTTAAATGTCATTGTCTTATACACGGTAACAACGTATGYGGGACTAAATTATTAAAAAGCATTTCTTCCGTGTCGTACTTGAAATCATAATAATATATTCTAGGTATTGTGTCATTCGATTGAAATGAACAAAATTCTCTTGATGTATATAGTGGTATAGGTCGGTGTATATTATTATAATGCGTAGTTTGAAATTATAAAAACATATGATTAAATATTATTTCATCCGTTTATAAATTATTGTGACTTATGTAATTGCAACTATTTATTATGAAAAAAAAAAAATGAATTCAAACAAAAGTTGTTGATATAATATTTTATAAGCATTTATTGTGCATATAAAAAACCAAATTGTTTATAGATATTTAAACAACGCGTCTTACTTGGATACTAGTAAAAATCATTTCAAATAACTAAAAAAAAAAAAAAAAA